AGGGCTATAAGTGCGTGCAACAATGGAAACACGTCCTCACTTTCAATGTAAGCGTCGATCTCCTGTCACGAGCTGTGCAGCGAGAAAAAACGTAGCCTGAAAGCTTTTTTCAACGTTTCACCACCCACAGTTCCAACGATGGATCGTCCCACTGTGCTGCTGTTCCATCGATTTCATAGTGTTAGGATGTGCTCGTGGTGGTTGCAACCAACTTTCGAGCTTCGTCGATTTTAGCACGTGGTGTGCCGACTAAATCTAATAGGTTAGGTTAGGTCACTCTCAGGTACCAAGCGTACCCTTGAGTGACGCACGCGGGAATTCCGAGTGCCCCGAACAATCACTGTAGCAGACAATAACGTTAAGACGCGCTTCGGCTCTGGTGACCATATGAATGCAAAAATGTACAAGTGAAAAAAGGGGCGAAGATTCTAAGTCGAAAAGAAGGCAATAAAGGTGAAAGCAAGTTCTTAGATTGAAAGACTACGATCATAAAATTACCGCTGCTACGAAACGAACGAAGGCGAAAAATATATACAATAGAACTACATGCTAAAAAATGTAAGGGTCGGGCGGCCGGCATACCTGACGAGGACTAAACACATAGAGTAACGCTCGACGAATCGAAGGTTCGTCTCGGTGAACGGAATGGAAATTACAAAGTGGCCTCTTCGTGGCAAGCTTCACCGAGCACGTTTTTCCAATTCTAATTAAATAATGGAATTCTCTGTAGCTCGTTAATCTCCTAACGAGCGCTAATTGATGGGCATTAATTTAGTACAGCCAGGGAGGAAAAACAGCGATGCTAGTTTGAACGTTTCTCTCCCTCTCCCTCTCTCGGTGCTTCGTAAATCAAAATTATCGCAAATCGACGGTTGGTTCAATGCGAGATTAATCATCGCGAGTTTGTGATATCAACAACGGGAACGTGAAATTTTGCGAGGTCACGTCTCGCCCCGCGGACCCAGTTACAATCAGCGCGATTCACCGTCGCGTAGATTTATTGGACGTCGAGCGGAATTCGCCGGAAACCACCGTGGAACGCGGAAGGCGATGCTGTAATGTCGTTCTGTATATCGTTAGAGCGTTACATCTTGCGAGGAACAGTTCGAACGGATGATATAATATCATTTTAATGCGGTAACAGGGCAGGACTGGAGATTGAGTCGATTGGGGAAAGTATGGTTTTCATGTGATTCGAGTTGGAGGAAAAGCAAAGGGCTGAGGATTATTATACGCGTGTTGTGTTGAATTTATATTTTACTTGGATAGAGGAGTTTACTCTCCGTAGAGGAAAAGCGAAGTAGTAAAGGGTTAAGTGACCTGTTTAAAAAATGGCACAGAAACATGGTTGATGCGAGGAAAATGACACTCTTCTCTGAATACTTCTTCGATACTCTCCTCCATTAAAAAAGGATGTAAATTGTGCGTTGGATTCAATCGCACTTTATTACATCGGTATTATAAATGGATGAAGGTATCTTTCATTCACTTAGCAAGTCGAGTTAGCCCATTAGCCGGAACTTTGTAATTACACCGATAGATAAATTGAAAAGTTAACAGATTAAAGCAATATTTGGAAACACGGTTTGCCTTTAAGCGCTGGCCGTGCAGCATTTTTCGATTAATTCCGGCGCACGGTAATGAGGTCGAGCGTAATGGCGGGTGTTTCGAAGGGCGTTTTCAGCGGGCGTTAATGCGTTCCGTAGACGGGTGTAATGAAACGAAGAGCGGGGATGGAGAACGCGCGCGTTCGATGGAGCTTCGCTCACGGTGTGCCGCGTAAAAGGTCCCGGACTCGCACACGTTTCACCCGTCTGGTGGAAAAGGTCGAGCGCGTGTGTAAACGGTTGCCTCTGCCAGGCCACGGAAATATCGTCGTGCCGAGAAAAACGAGAGATTCGAAACAAGGAATTCCTTTCTTACCTGAATATTTCATTTTTCCTTCCGCTGAAACTTGATTAGATTGGAAACGTAGACGAGAGGAGAAATACGCGTACGGTAAGCAGAGAGGTTTTTGCGGGGGAAAGCTCTGCGGGGGAAATGTTAAAAGTACCATTTCGCTTAAGATTCTGTATATTTTTTTCGTAGAAGTTGCTCAAGGAGCTTTTCGTATTCTACGAGACTTTGGTGGGATCAGAGTGCTTCCTTGCCGAATTTTTCGGGCCACGGTTGAGCCAAGTGGCACAGTCGACCACTCTGCAGCCGGGTTATTTTGAATTTCGTTCTCTCCTACATCCGGGGAACCTTCGATTTTCGTCTGAAGGAACGATCGAACTATTTCACAAGTAATCGCAAAGATTGAATAACTTTCCCCTGCGGGCGTTTGATTCTTCCCGAGAATCAACTTCCTCCTTTTCTCTGTTCCATGAATTATTCCCAAGGTTACGCAATAAAACGAGTTAGACGTTGAAATTTCATAAACGACGTAAAATCTCGTTTCTATCTTGCGATTCTCTCCGAATGGCAAACAGAATGATAAATTAAAGGAGATGGGAAAGGGGTTTGTTTTCGCGTAACGAAACTGTGAGATACGAGGAATTTCGGTTTGGATCTCCGCGAGGAAAATACGACTCGGAGGAATTTGTTGGCGGTGAAAGGGGTACGTCTTCGGCGTAAATCAGCCTCTCTGCTCGTTAACTCGATGCACCCCTTCGAACAAATCCAAAGTTTCGTCGCAACGGAGTGTCTAGCTGGGGCTCGTTTGAAAGAAAACCCTTTTCCTCGCTCACGCCACTCCGATTACCACAACAATACCGAACTTCCTCTTTCGTCTGAAGCAGAATTAACCACGACACACCGACGGAGCTTGCACTCGATCGATCTCTCCGCCCTTTCCTCGCGAGAAAACACTTAGAACCCTCCTTTCGTAATCGTGCCACGATCCACTGGCTACAATGGCCACGGAATCTTTAATCGTTCACCTTTGGTTCGAGACGATGATCGTTATCGGTTAATAGGCAGCTAGAATCGTACGAGCAATTGTAATCAGGTCACCGTTTGCTGTTACAATCGAATGGATAAAGATATGGTGGCGGTGTACGTGTCAATTGGAACATCGATCCTGGACGTGTGACAGTGACGATTTAGTATAATGGATCGCGGTGCCGCAGCGGTTTCAAGTAATCGAAGGTGTTACGAAGATAAATCGGTCTGTGTATTAAATTGCCTGGCTAGCCGATTTATAGATCGGTCTCGATGTGAGAAAGTGTCGAAACTTGTGCGTACCCGATCGAGAAATGAATTCTTTGCCAGTTTCTGTGGAAATTGTTTGGAAGCGTGGTAGAAAGCCGTAATGTGTTAATCGACGATCAGCTCGTATGACCATAGGTCAACAACGTTTCCCGCTGGGTTGTTTCTCATCGTTAGCCACGAGCCGTGACTTTGGTGGGACGCGGCGAGGAAGCAGGCAGACAGCAGCAGCGGGCGGAAAGAGCGTTTAATCACGATGGCCGCGTATCGAAACGGACGTGCTCCTTCCGCGGCCGAAACCGTCGGAAGATGGATGCTGCAATCGCGTGCTCGAACCCGGACGAATCAAATTATCCCGCCGAAATAGGATCGCGGCTGAATTACGGGGTCGCGTAATCCACGGGAATCGAACTCGATTCGATCTGAACGCGGTTTCTCCGACGGTTAACGCCACTTCCTTCACAGCTAACACCTTTGTTAACGAGCCTCGCGACTTTATTTCCCTCGCAAATACCCACCGTACCGTCCTTTTCTCTTTCTTTCTTATTCCATTCAACCCTGTCGCTGTGCGTCTCCGTTTATCGCTGCTTGTAGCGTAACAGGAGGATCGTTTAATTCACCGGGGGGAGAGAGAAGAAAAGAAAGGAAATAATTGAGAGATAAGAAAGGCGAACGGAGGAAACGTGGGCGACGACGAAAATGAATTGCAGCTGGAGGCTCCCGCTAATGAATTACACCGTCGCTTTATATTTTTCCCTAATTAATGGACGCCATCCATTAAGCGCGGCGACCTCGGCGAATTGCTTCGTTCCACGCCGCCCCCGGATTTTCCCTTTCCGATTCTCTCCCCGTTCCCCTCTCCGTCGGTTCCCGCGACCATTATTCAGGTGTCACGGAGAAATTGAAACGAGCAAACGGAAATACCGCAAGACCGCTCCGAAACGGGCACTTGTGGTTCGCGTTTAATTCACCGTGCTTACGCTCGTTCAGCTCCTGGTCGTCCTTGTTGAAAATCGGTCGTTGTGATCTAGGGGTGTTGTTTTCGGGTAGTCGGTGTTTGAGGTAGAGTTTTATTAAAAATTTTTATTTCTGCTATTTTACAAGTGGTGTTTTTGCGTGAAGCTTGACACTGGAACAACCGAACCCTTCGAATCGAGGGATCTTAGGTTTTTTATTGTACTTGAAATTGCAGAAATTATTAAGATACTTTGGTCCAAGTGAATTTTCTTGAAATAGAAAAATTCGTATCGTGTATGTCAATTTGTGTTTCTCATCTTCGGTTGTTCTAGTATTAAAACCAGTCACTTGACAGTACGTCGCCTCTTACGCATCGATGTGCTTAATAAGACAAGTATAGATTAGACAAGGAAAACCATCTCGTTCTATAACTCAAAATCATTCTGCCTCAAAAAAGAAAAATCACGTGTCCTGTAAAATAACGAATACAAATTGTCTCCGCACCTTCGAACAAGAGTACAGTGTCCTCGAAATCGATCCACGATACAGAATCGCCAGTAAAATCTCCGGCAGATACGAGCGTTCGTACTCTCTCCACGGGAATTGGAATTTTGCGCGATTTATCCTCGCCGCGAAACACTGTCTATGACGAAGAGGAACGAAAAGCCGGTTGCGAAACGCGGAAGAAACAAATAATCCCGCGTCTGCTGGCTAAGCAAATAATTTCATAGCGCAGAATCGGAATGGACCTTGTTCTTTCGACGTAACCGATGCAAACGCACGTATTTATTATTATTGAAACGAAGAGGTTGAAACATCTTCGCGCGAGAGAAAGAGCGTCACTCTTGCGTGTGTATAAAAGGAAGGATCGTTTCACGAATGGAGCAGGGTGTTTGCTGATAAAAAGAGGCGTAATTCTCGTGGGAAAAGAAACTTGGCGTACAGAAATTCACGGTGCTTCGTCTTTCGAATTGAAGGCTGGATTTTCGCGAGATTGCGTCGCTGCATAAGTTAATTTCTCACTATCAGACTTTCGTTGATCTTTCTTGTTGCTTCGCTTTTTCTTCTTCTTGCTGCTGCTGCTGCTGCTGCTGCTGATTGCTCCTTTGGTGTCCTCTGGAACGCTAATGACTTCCGTCAGTGGCATCATCGTGGCGACTCTCAGCGCCTGTAAAGAGAATTTTCAATTCGTCAAGTATCCACGGTGCACCACGGAAGAATTATCCCGACGGCGTGCCGGAGGAGAATTGCACGTTCGATTAGAGGTCGGTTGATGAGATCGAGCGTAGGTATTGTCGGCTGTCGCGTTCATTGGACAAAGAGGGATGGAAACGTGTCGGTGCACACGGGTTGATAGGGCAAAGGACGGCGAGTGTCGGCTGCAATGGTTGTCGAGTCCCTTTCTTGACGCTTTCACGCGTGTGTAGGAGCGTGTTTGAGTTGGAAGGACGTGGGGAACGCTCGTCTTTTTAGAGTGGTTCGCCAGTTTACTCTCTTTCTTTTTTTAGTAGTATATACCTGCCTCTTCTTTTTTTTCAATTTTTGTTTGCGTTGAATTTATTACCAAATTTCGACAAAACGTGTGGAAGTGCCGTTGGCGAGTTTCCACGAAGAAATAGGGGAGGCAAATGATAGGGGAGGAACGTGAGTGAGACGAAGGAATTATTAAAAAAGTTTGGAGGAAAGTTTAATTGTATCAGAGGTTTGTTTGCTCTCTCGAGAAAAGTCTGAGAATGTTACAGTTACTTTGACGCGATTAATTAGGTACCTCGAGATAAGTGAAAGAACGCTCGAAGGAGGTTCGTTAAAAAATTATTATATTCTTCTCGGTAGTTTCCTCGGAGGTGGATTTAACGACAGGAAAATCCGCGAGGCTAGCGGATCGCCGTTTTCAGTCGTCGTAAATCACGAATCCTGCCAACAAGTAGATAACCCCGTTTTATGTTATCAACTAACCTTGTTCCAGTTTGGACGAACTTTCTGCGCGCCGCTCTTAGCCCTGTTTGTTGCTTATTTTTACACGTTCTCGATTTTCGCGTATACTCGTCTGCATTTCCCGCCTCGAATATATGTACGTGTACGAATTGAGAAAATGAAACGAGCTTCCGCAACATCGTATATAGGTTGTAACAAAGGAAAAAATTGGAAAACAAACGCATGAGAAATGCGTGGCGGAATTATTTTTAACGGGTGAACGGTCAGCGTGCATTTTAATTTCCGCTCGTTGCGTTCAACGAGCGGGAAAAATTGTCACCGGCGGCGCAACCTCGTGGAAAATCACCACTTTATCGATGCGTTGGCGCGATCAAAACTCGATGATTCCCTCGCATGTCCGAACTAAAGAGATGAATCGCCTCAGGCCGGGTACAAAAGTGCGTCGAAAAATTCCAAATACCGTTTAACGAGACACAGAGGTTAATTGGAATTACACGCGTGGGATGAACCGTAGACGGGATGAAAGTGACGCTTTCTTGGAGCTTTCGTCGAGATGAAAGAATCATAATGGAAATAATTGACAAATTGGTCAATTTCCGGTGATCGTAGGGTAGCGGTCATTCGATATCACCTATTAGAGATGCACTTTGAGCGAGTGCAACGCGGAAACGCTGATTATCGGAGCTGGGTGTATCGATGCACAGTTCTACTCGACGCTGTGTACATGTATATTCGTTGACGATTTCCACGAGGATGCAGAGTCTGGGAACGACGTACACTACTGCGATCCTCAAAAACCGATCCGATTCGGAAGGCCAGGCAATTCAATTAGTTTCTGCGCCATCGGTCGCGCTGCAGCCACGGGCCCGTGACTTATTACAAGATTAAAAGTATCCGGAGGACAGAGGGGGGAAAAGGAAAGGGTTGTGTGCATTCGCGAGAGCGCGAACGAGTCCCTGTAATTCGGTATCGCCGCCGACGCTTTTTCCGGTCTCTTCGACGAAACGACATTTATTTCGAAACTTCATCCCCCGTTCAATTACGCGTTTCGTCCGAGCATTTCACCCGAGCGACTTTCCACCCGAAAATTGAACGGAAATTCGAACGCTGGTTACAACTACCTGGGGGTGTGCTGATTGTGTCGGTGCCGATATTGCGTGGATCCTCGCGCGAAACGTGATTTCTTCCATTTTTGCTCTTTCGGTTTTTGCAAGATTTGAGGGAGAAGTCTTTTACTGTGGAAGGAAGGGGAGTGACTGGAAATTGTGGATTATTAGAAATTTGATTCAAACTTGGCAGATTTTTTAATTTTGCTCCAAGAAGATTTGAAATGTGTCGAATAGTGGTGTGATATTGATATTCTCAAAGGGTGAATGGGAAATAATGAAAAAAACTGTGGATTGTTGAAAATTTGATTTAAATTCAGATTTTTAAAGTTAGCCAGACAAATTACAATAGTGTCTGATATTCTTAAAGTTGGATTTTTATGAAAGGGGCTAATAGTTTGCGAAGTAGAACGTAGACGAAATCAGTCGACCGAGTCTCCAAGCAAAGAGTGACTCGATTGCATCGGCGAGATCAAATCCATCGAAGATGTTAATGAGTCTCTAGGACGGGGACACTTTTGCGCGATTAAAGAGCGAGTGGTATTTAAGGAACGAAGGGGGATAATAAAAGTTTCAGGTTGGATGGGGGTTGAGCGTACCTTAAGCATCGCGGAGGGAAAGAAAAGACCGCTCGAGAAATTCACTCGACTTCGGTGGCGGTCTCGTGTCTCTTTATGAAAAAGCGGCGAACTTTCATCTCGAGAGACAAACGATCGCGAAAAGAAGCTCAAGAGCTTCTGGCTTCTCGCTCGCCTGCGACGACGTTCGAGATCGTTTCCTCGAAAACTTGAGCACCTTGTTTCGCTTAATTCGTTTGGCGTTGCTTCGAGTGAAATTTAAAGCTTCCCTTTCTTTCTCTCACTCGACGATTGCTCGAGAATCACCGCTGTTTCGCCGGTAGTGTAACGTTGTTTAAGGAAAGTGTAGACGAACTTTGATAATATCGCTCGTAATTCGATTTCACTTGTAAAACAGCGGATGGGATTTTTGGTAGAAAATTTCTCTAAAGAAGATTCTCACGAGAGAACGGGTTTAAACGCAATCTTTGCTCCAGCACTCGATCGAAGATTTGGTAAACATTTAACGAAGCTATTGGCAATGGTCCAGTTGGAAGAAAGACGAGCTGCGGGCATTGTGCGGTCGCGATTTAAAACTCGTTACCTTTCGTCTGTCCCGGTGGGCGGAATACAAGATCCAGACAATGTAGGACACCATTATTATGGCCGGTATGAAGACGCCAGTTATGGTGGACGCGTCCCGCAAGAGAGCATGATGCACGGCGAGCAGCATGATTGCCAGCACGGCCCCACCGGCGACGTACCTTCCGGTGCGACGTCGTTCGTCCTGTCAACAAATGACAAATATCTAGACGGTGTTCCGCGAATTTCGAGTGGCTGTAAATTCGCTTCCATGGAAATTCTCGCTGTTGGAAATATCCACCGCGAGGCGTTTCTTTATTCAACGTGCAATTCTTTTATTCTAGCGGGTATTCGTTCGACGAGTAAGGAGACGGAGCCTTGGTTCAAACGGTATCTAAATAAAAAATACGATACCTTTTGTTTGGGTACAAACGAGAGGAATTTTAGAATTGCAAAGTTTTCTTTTCAATTTCTTTTCGTTCGACACCCCTTTTGTGGAGCGAAGTTTCACGGGAAGAAGTGTCCAAGGCAAAGAAAATTGTTTGCTGCAAGCGTAGAGAATCTGAAAAAGTGTGTAATTGCAGCAGGAGTTATCTGGAAAAGTAGACGAATTGCGAGATTGGTCGAATAAATGAAAACAACACCCGTCTGTCTCTTCGTTTATCGAATATACCTCGTGTAACTTTCTTACGTGGTGTTCGCCGTGGAATATTAGCAGCAGCTTTTTCACGACTCCCGCGATAAAGGTAGAAAAAATTGGAAAGGTGATGGCAAACTTTGAGCAAATTTGAAGCTTCTTCCTTGGGAGAAATTCAACGAAGAATTCCACCTTGCGAGATACCAGCGAACAAAGAATCTCTTCTCGAATCCTCGAAGCAAAAGGCAGCAAAGATTGGACACGATTAGCCGACGTTCCGATGCAAGAGAGCGAAACGAAAAGTGGCACGGCCAGTCATAATCTCTGTGTGGATGTGAAATTTTGGACAGCGATCGCGGCGGAAGTGACAGCTACATTTCCATTCGCCGAACGACCGATGCAATTGGAAGTGTCGTCGCGGGGGTGGCTGCTTTGTATTCGTTGCGCACACGCCGCGATATCCAGAGCACGCGTTTTCCTATTATTATCGTATTCAAATGAAAGCTACCCCGGAAGTAGATAGAGTCTATTTTGCCTACGAACCGTGTACCGTGTGCAGATTGTTGCTGACATTTGCCTCGAGGATCTCGAATTCGGTACTCATTTTGCCCCGCGCGTTGAAAACCACGTGCCGATACGAAGTAGGTGTACTACGTATATACATATATATATATACGCCTCGTGAAAACTATTCTCCTTTGACGGTTTACCTTGTTCTCCGGCGCCCGTTTGTTTCTTTCGATCGGAAAGATTGATGATTTTTTGGTGAATCGCTAGCAGCTGTTTCTGCTGTGACGTAAGGAAATTAATGCTCTGCGACCGGAAGGGAAACAATAATCGACGTAGAGTTTAAACCTGCGTTTTGAATTGTTGAACGAGTCTGGAATAGTGTGTCTTAACGTCTACAGACAAGGAAGGAAGAATTTTTCGGAAAATTGATCGAGAAAATGTGTCCTGCGTTTCATCCTGCTTATCGCGTGAAAACGAAGGATTAACATTAACGCAAAAATTGTCGTACACGAAATAGAACCGGGGCTGTGTGACTATACTCGCGGCAAAAAAGTTACGGTTTTCGGTTCGATACTCTTCTTTTCTTTTTTTTTTTTCACCCTCCGGTGATTAAAGGCAAAACTGCATCTACCGGGCCAGTGAACGCTATAAAAGGATCGTTCTTAGTTTCGGTCCACGTACGTGCAATATCATTTGAAAAGAAAGCTCTCTCTCTCTCTCTCTCTTTTACGTAGCTCGAGAGAAGAGAGGTAATTTTCGAGCGAGAAAGAAACGAAACAACGATCGTTGACCGTTTCTCTTCCCGGCTCAAAGGGGCAGAGTTTACACGAGTGGTTGGAAAAGTTGAAGCGAGCGGAACGAAAGTCACATGCAACTGTGCGAAATTTCGAACGAGAGAAAGGCGACTTACGGAGAAACGGCGGAAAGTTTACCACGCTTTTCTTTACCACTGTGCAAATCATTCCACAACGAAGATATCACGTTTACAGACACTGTTTTTCGTAACTAACCGAGGTGGTGGCGGTGTTTAGAGTGTCCCTCGAAGAGGAAGCTTCCGATCTTAGCGGCATAATGATGTGATCAATTGAAACGATCCTCGAGGATACAGACGTCCTTGCGAATTGGATCTTTCAACAGCATAGATGATCGATATTTCGCTGACACAATTTCACGTTCATTTTTCGAGAGATTGAAGGGAGAACGTGAATCATGAGCGTCTAAGGGACACCTTGCAGCGCGACGAATGTTCTCCTGCAGCGCATTTTATTGCATACAGTATCTCACTGAAATCACAGCTGGCTTTTATTCCCCTCGGTTTTTCCACTGCGCCTGGTGCTGCCGCACGCCCCTTGAACACTTTTACAACGCTCGCTGCGCCTCAAGAGATACGCGATACCGGGAATTCCGCGGCGAAATTTACGGGCATAGTTGGCGTTAAATTAAACGTCCGGTATTTACGGCAGTTCTAGTTTAATTAGAAAGAGTCGGGAACGGAGGGAAAGAACGCGGGTGGAAACGCGCTGGAAATCACCGCAATTCTCGTAAAGTAGCCGTGCTTCTCGGCGATGGGTCCCACGGAAAATCGTTTACCGATCATTTTCCACAGACGGTCGTCTTTACGCGCGAAGCTAGTTGACAAATCTCTGTTTCACTTGTGTTTCACTGTTCGTTGAACATAGACGGAATAAGGTAGAATGTTCTCGACGAAACTTTCCAACGATTATTTCCACGCGGATTCACCAAGTTCATGATGAACGATCACGATGAACATTGAACCGTGTATCCTCGCGGCCGATGATCGAGAGGCGTGTTCGCGGGTGGATGACGGAAAATGAGGAGTCGAGAGGCGATCGAGGGAGGAGGATGTATCGGGCGCGGGCTCGAAGAACAGTGCCAGCAGCGCATTTACAACGGCCGGCCGGCACAATATAAGCCAGGCAAACCGCTAGCATAATAAACGAATAACACGCCGGACCAACACACGCACACCCACGTAGATAGACGCGGCACTCAAACATGGTGGGCTGGCTGGGTGTGTTGCGGAACGGATCGGAGATCGAAGGTAACCGCCTTTGCCAAAATTAGCCGATCCTTTGCTCCGCGATGCCTCGCGAGAACCGAATGCCCTCGGTAAAATTCCTCTATGATGAAGAAAGATAAATCTTGGTGTGGATTAGCGTTTGCCCGAGGTATCACATTTGACGGCTTTTAGGTTCGTGAATTTTTTCCAAGTATCTGAATATTCCAAGGGGAAAAAGCCGGAGGAAGTGAATTGAGCAAGAGGACGAGGAAGTTTGAAGTGGTAAACTGCGTCACGTTGGAAATCGGATTAGCCTTGTTCATGCGGCTCAGTGAGTAGCGAGTTTGCTACGGAATGTTGGCTCCCGAGCACCTGATTCGAGATGCCCGCGAAATTGGATGCTGCTCACGTGAACAGTCCTTGTGTCTTCGATTCCTCGCTCTTACAAATAAGGATGCTCCCTAAGTAAATGTTTATTTGCTCCCGTTACTATGCCTCGTTCGAAACTTTGAGTTTTTTCCGTTCGAAATATCTTCCGTGCAAGTTTATTTCCTCGGAGGCAGTCGAAGGTTGGTTTCCTCCCAAGCAGAGTACAGGGTAGAAGCGACAAATTAAACGTGTCCCCCTGTAGAACGGTCATAACGCAGCCATTCCGTTGAACCAATCCTCCTTTGAAATACCTGCCGTTACGAGCAGTCGTTGTTCCAAGACCGTTGAAACGTTCTAATGAAGAAATAAAAGGGGTCCGTCTCGTGGGGAGGAAGGAAGGTGGGCCACAAAATGCCTGACGATCGAATAAAGGACTCCTCGAGCCGTTTCATCGGGACGTGGCAGTAAGGCCGGAGGGATATTCGATCAGTTTCTTCCATCTTCTAACGCGGGCTTATGACATCGTCGGCTGGAACGACGATTACGCGATTATGTTTCCGTGTATCCCTGGGTCTCTTCCTTTCGGGGGGAAGACGGAGCGTGTGTCCTTTACGACGCTGGCCAACCCTTAGTCGCACGTAACGCGTTGATTCTGTGACGGGCATACCGATCCTTTCTAAGAGGGAGGAATTTCAACGGCGGTATTCCTCTCACGCTTTTCAATCGTACGCGGCGCGCGGGCTTTCTGTTTATGCACAATCGAACGGGTAGTTAAAAATTTCGTTGCATTAGCGATCAAGTGGGTGGATGTTTGTGGTTTTATTCTGTGCGCGGGATGTTGGAGGGAAATTTGGGGTGACGAAGGGATCGGTGTTTAGTGTGTAGAGTGGAATTTTGGAATTGAGGGCTGGAATTGTTGAGTGTTTGGAAGGTTTGAATTTTGGATTGCGCCGCATACCAATTCTCGTGACAGCCCTAGTTCTGACATCTCAAGGTAGAGCACTGATGTTCCGGTTAGGGCTGAGAAATTGGAATTTTTGTGACAGTCCTGATTCTGATATCTCAAGGTAAAGATCATATAAAAATATTAGAAAATTTGGTTCAAAGAACAGTCCACCGTCAGCTGTAAAGTATAATTTACGAGAGATCCCTCTGCAGTACGTCTTCGTCTATTACACAACTAAGATCTTAATAGAAAACCGGGTTGACCAAAGAAGATCCTATCTAGTTCACCAAATTCAACAAACTTTTCGGATGTTTGTCCCCTCTTCTTACTTCTTGCTCTATGACCCAGTTGTCGCGGTTACGCGTAAAAATTGGAGATTCCACAATCTAGATAAACTTTACCGAACATCGTCGAGTTTTCACTGGTTCTTATCAGCAACCGTGCCTCGTGTGCGCTATCTGAACCGAAGAGTGAAAGGGGGTGTGACCAGTTGGCGCAACGTAGGCGTAGACGGAGGCTAGCAAAACTCGTTCGATCGTAAGATCGTAAGAACATAGAGCACGTAGGTTTCAGAAATATCTCCTCTGCTTGTGGACGGAGTTCCGCGAGAGAGAACTCGTAACATTTCTCGCGTAATACGCGCAACTAGCGAAAATATTCCATTTTCGCGCAAGTGAATCATCTACGCGGCTGATTCATCGATAGTCGGAAATATCGTAGGTGCTTGTTATAATAAGAATCCACCGTAATTTTGCTACGATTTCGAATTCGTCCGTTCTCCTCTGTCCTTTCTTTGTTCGGTGATATTTTCGTAATTGGCCTCTGGACAAACACGAAAGGAACATTGCGTGGAACTGCAGAATGCTCGTTTAATTGCCCGGTTCTCGCGAACAACCGGCGATTTTCCCGGGCGAAATAAAAATCCACGATACACAGGACCGTGTCTGTTTTCGCGTCGAAGATGCTGTTAAACCGGAGGTGAGAGAACGAACCGCCCCGCGCTCGTTCACGGAAGTACGTGCACACGTCGAAATCAACCCTCGAATAGACAGCGATTCGTGGGCGTAACGTAATCCACCTCCACTTGGATCTGTTCGACCGACGAGTTTCGGAAAGAGCGATACGTGAATCTGCGAGACTTTTAAAAGGTCGATCCAGAGGTACTAATTATACCGATAACACGAGGGAGAGCCAGATAGAGAAGCTAACCATTAACCACTTGGAAATAGCGAAAGAACTCTCGGCTGAGAGTAGTAACCTTGTGTAATTGAATCAGCGGGAGGATGGAAATGTCAGAGAGCGTTTGGAGTGTGGAAAAGGAGAAGAATGTTGGAAGAGTGAAGAAAGATCGCGAAGTGCAGTATTCCAAGAAACCGATTCTAATTAGTTAACAACCAACGCAGCGGTTTCGCCTCTTCTCTCCGGACGTAAATACGCGCAATTGCAGGTCTCGATTCGTCTCCATTTGCGTTCTCTTTCTTTCTCTCTCGAACGTGTCGCCGGGAATACATGAATATCAAGCGGCTTTCTTGGCGATAATTCATTTACAGCAGCCACCTTCTCTTTGGCCGGAAACCCCGGGAATAAAGCTGAGGAAAAAGGTCAAAGAGACTGCTGTGGAAGTGGGAGAAACGATTACACTCTCTTGAATTTTTCCTCGTTATCGTTGAAGTTCCGCGGGTGGTTTTAGAATCTTGATTCGGAGGTAACGTCGCGTGATAAATTTCGATTTAACCCTTTCGCGACTTACGGGTCGAGTATATTCCACTCGAGTGGTCGAATAAGAATTCGTCTCGATTTGCAGGAGGATCGGATTGCTTACGAGGATCGGTGGATGAATAATAAATTGCTTGAGAAAATAAATCGGTGGTGGAATAGTGAAATCGATCGGAGTCGAAGAGCTCGGTTTTCTTGTTTCTTTCTTGGCGAATTTCGCGGATCTCGTTGCAGCTACATAGCCGGAATAACGACTGGCGGAGTCGTGTTTATCTTGGACTTGGTAATTCGCGAGGAGGAAGCGAGTGTGCGCGTGTTTTTTGTCAGTCGACGCCTCGTAAAACCTTGGCGGCCAGCGAAATTGCGGTGTAAGCCGGATGTTCCGGTAAACGACGCCTCGGTAATTCATGACTCATCGGGCTTTTCGGTGGATCGTCGAAAGAAGCTTCTCGATGTCCGAATAGTCGAACGGTTGAACGAGTTGAAAAGCTTGGAATTGACGATGGAAGTTTTTCTTTTTTATTCCTGGATATGTGTTTGCCTTTGAAACGGTCGTGTGGATGTTTCTTTTGGAATCGATGGTCACTTTTTCCACCGTGTACATAAAAAATATTTGCTCGGTGCATGTATGCTCGTTCTGCGCAGGGTATGCTGTTCTTAATTCGCGTGTGGGCCGATGCAGACGCGGCTGGTTCTCGGAAGGAGTGCACAGGGTGCGCCACTTTGTCGGTGAGTGCGTGATCCATCGATCTTTTTTACGAGGAAATTTATTTTTCACTTTTTAAACCATCGTTTTGCGAGATAATTTGGCTAAAGTAGAGAAATCATCGTGGAAAAATACTTTTGGAAATGCTTGGGAGATTTATTGCGTACAGTATTCTGTATTATCTTCTACTAGTAAGGCAGAAAATTGTACCGAGCTCGTTTTAACCGAATTTAGGATTTATGCAGATTTAAACGACAGTTCGAAAGATAGGAAAAATTTGACAAATTAACGTTCATTTTTTAACGATTTTTTATGTGTAGTTTTCTGTAAAGATTTTAACATAGTGG